CTGGATGCAGGAATCGATGGAGGAGCAAATAGACCAATGACAACCCAAAAAGGTAACAGCCGACAATCAGCCGTCTAAATTCCGCCTTTATAATGAGCGTGGTTGGCACATACATGCAAATTCATTCCCCCTTGGAAATCTTAGCCGTCACACGTTTCCTTCACAGAAAAAGCAAATTCACAGAAGTGACCACCGAGTGAGGGGGCACCGTCGTTGTATGCTCAGATGAGGCGCGCTTGCGATAGCATGACAACGAGAGCCGGTTTGGACAGACAACAAAGTGAGCGAGAAAAAACAGCATCCGCCTTGTTATTCACTACTCCAATCAGGAAAAAGGCCACTGGGAACAGGTGTCACTCTCGCCCATCGGTAATACTACTGTCCAAAAGTGGAAGCCGTACGTACTTAGTAGTGGGCGAAACACTATTGACGTTGTTGCATAAAATAGTGCAGAATGTGCGGAGAAGTGCAATGCCTCTTTGTTGGTTGGATAAGCGAATTGGATGGATCGCGACCCCACACGGTCACAATTGATGAAGGCTGACAAAGTGACCACAAGTGCATTTGAGAGAGAGAATGCGTTTATTTCACCTCGACGGCCTTACCTTCCCAGTTTTGCCCCGCCTAGTTAATTCTAGGACAAATCTGAGACCCCAGCACGTCTACTGAAAAAAAGCCTTCTTTTGGAATGACCTACCAAACCAAATGAGACAGAATTTAAAGATGTGATAAGGGATACTATTGGTTGCAACCGTATAAATACCATGGAAAATCCTTTTTAACTTTAAAAACACAAATTGACGGTTCGCACAATTTACGTCGACGTCAACCAGCGCTTTGAGAGAAAATAGCTTCTTTTGACGGTTGATTTAGCTCTCAAATGGCTAAAACCAACACAGATGTTGTACATAAAACTCCTCCTAGAACTCATTAAGCACACGACTTAACTCAACTGAGTCAATGAGTGGCAAGTGGGAAATCTTCAAAGCATCATGTATTCACTACTATGCACTATAGCGGAAGAAAACTTCGTTTGCCGCACTAAACACTTTCCGGGCAAATTAATTGCAAATTATCAACAGGTCATGTCATAAATTGTGGAGGCAGCACTAGTTCGAATACCTTGGCCAAAGTATATGGAAAGTGAACACCACTGTTAACGTTTTGAGAGTAAGTGGTTTAGCATTATCAAAAACTACTGAAAACTGAGTGGGAAATATTATACGATGGGAACTATTTTTGCAAGCGCGAGAGAGAGTGGGGACAGAATACAAACACTGACCGTGACATTCAAAGGACAAGTAAATGCCAACACAAAAGGCAAAAGACCAAATGTGTATTAACGCAAATTTGTAGTACCACATTAAGCATTGCTTGCCTTGCCAAAATTATTGCTTAATCTGATCAAATAACATGTTAAAAACGCAAAGTTCACAGTAGAAAATTTTACAAAACAAGCTAAGCGAGTGCCGCTTTTCATAAGGGGTCGAAAGGGGTAAGAAGAAAACGCCCATTCGAGCCTGCAAGAAAAAGCATCCTAAGGTCGTACTCCGCCTGGCACTCATTACCTGGTTCATTCAACCAGACCAACTACATTAACCACACAAAAAAACGCACATTTGTCATCCCAACGGGAGAGAGGGTGGTCGCGACCGCCGTGCACTACCACTGACTCAACGCCACAGTTTGGACGCATGAGTGACTCATGGAGAAGTAGATGACTCAGATACCGCACCCAGCGAGATGAAAAACGCATTATCAGCGAAAGCAAGAGAGCCAACGTCACGCCAGCTCACCTGAGGACGACTGGCTTGGTGGGGGAGCATGCAGAACCTCGCCAGGTAGGTGAGCAGAAAAGTGCTTATTTTGGATAGCTGACGGATTGGCTACGGCGAGATTTCGTTGGCGGCGCTGCACAAGTGGGAGGTTCTTCGGCCGTTGGGGCGGAGCAGGTGATGAAGTAAAACTGGTGAGCGATGTGCTTGTGGAAGTCAATTTCGGGGGAGGTGTGGAGTAGACGAGGGGCTCTTTTTCCACACTGCGGGCAGGTGAGGCCTGTGCCGAGGCGTTTTTTTTGAAGCGGGTGTAATTACGCGACGCGGAGGACTGAGACCGTCCACGAAAGTGTGAAGCGAAGGAGGCGTAGTTGATAAGAGGAGGCTGAATTTTCGGAGCTGTCGGTGACTTCTCTGGCTTGACGTGAGACGTGCCAGATCGTTTGATGAAGAAGAGGGACTGCAATTTAGAGAGGAAGGAATCGGAGCGTTGGAGAGATGAAGATACATTTGCCTTTCGATTTTGAGGGGCAGTAGGAGGAAGAGGAGGCATCTGGTCGTCAGTGGAGGGCTCCAAGAAAAGGCAGGAACGACAGGCAGAGCGCGAGCGTCCGGAAGAGAGGGGAGAGGTGTTCTCCAATGGGAGAAACATTTCGGACAGAACAAGACTACGCACTGTGGGTGGACGGCGAAAGCTACTGGTGGCACTGTGATCGCGACGCAAATAGACGGTAGTGGAAGATGTAGAGGCAGAATTGGGAGACACAATGGACGCCATTCCCATGAGTTATGCCAAAAGAATAATTCCCAAGTATGTTCCTTTATTTCATCTGCCAGTAAATCCGTTCAGGGGTGAAAGTACCTTGTGTCACAAATCAAAGCAGAGTCATGATAACCTGAATGTTGAAAATTCTACCAAACAAATGCAAGTTAACGTAACAAAATATTAAGAAACTATAAGAACCAGCTTAAAATAAGCTTTTGACAAGATAGACGTCATCTATACAGAATAAAATAACAACTTGTGACGCGATCTTTGAAGCCGAACAAACCTCCTCAAAAGCAGAAATCTACGGAATATGATGACAACACATTTTGGAAACAAATCTAGAGAAACGTTGATTAATATATCAACACAGGCATTTGATTTGCTATATTTAACTGACAGAGAAGAATAAAAAAGGTCTAACTTTTCATTTAAGCATTCGCATCCGGAGATACGAATTAAGCACGAGGCAAAATCGTCGATATAATAACATAGATGACCATTTCTAAAACACACCACGCAAGGCGCAGTTTAGAAAGGGAGATGCAAGTGCATTAAAGTTCACTAAAAACCACATGACGACGGAAGACAGCCAGACACATAGACACACAACGCCAAGCAGTGAAATCACAGTACATTTGAATAGCCAAAACTGAATGATAGATCAAGGACGAGGATGGCATTAAACGAGATAATAATAGCATTTGCTAAGGATGAAAAATACTTTGTATCGCAAAGGCGTCACCAGATTTGTGTCATTTTTATTTTCTTAACAGGTTATAACCATATTTTGATCATTTTTTAGGTTTTCATGAAAAATGCCAAAGGAAAAGTTATAAGCCCCCACCCAAAATTTAAAAGCAAATACCTACCCTAAAATTATTGGTCTTAAAACTGATTGAACTTGCGCAAAAGACAAAATTGCTCAAATGAGTTGACATCGGCTACACCTAAGGATAAAGATGTGAAGCACATCACTATTGCCAGCATGGAATATTTGCATCCATTGGTTTCATTGCAAATTCAAATTCCAAGTTGTTTCCTAACTATTGAATCAGCCTTGTACATGCCTTTGGTTTCGTGGACTCCAACACACATTGACAGATTGAATCATATTAAAATTCATAACAGTGAATTTGCTAGATTTTATAAGTGTGCTCCATCTACTAATTTGAGACATCAAGCCACTCTAACTAAACTAAAGGGAGGTATTGTAGCCCTCCAGCTTATTTTCGACGCCATAGTATTGTGGCGAAAAATGTATCGCTAACGCACGGAGAAGCTGAGGCTAACGGCATGGCCGGGAGACCATGCTGTTTAGCAAAAGCACAATCCTTAGCTACCTGAATGTCTGCGTAACCAAACGTGCAGTGAAATGATCCATTAAAGTCTTTTAGAATTAGCTTGTACAGAAGAAGCGTATTTGCAAGAACAAATAGTCGTTATTGCCCTATTCAAATTTACATCGAAATCTCCGCTATCAATCTAGCATCGTTTGACTGCGAAAGAAATAAGTATTGATGTTTTTAAATAGGAGCCTTTTACTTATATTTTTGATTGTGAATACATTCTCAAATCAGAATCTTCGAGGCTATAATCAAATTCCATGAATGTTTATAGTGCGCATGAATTGGAAGCAGTTTTTCGTATGCGATAATCTAACCAACAGGTGATATGTGTGCCGCAGAGAATATTCTTGAAGAGCCAAAATGTTTGCTTTCTGAAAAACAGTTGGAGTCAATATATTATTTGAGTTCTGAAGATTATAGGCCGCTCCCACAGGTGGCTCTCAGTCTATGTAATTTTTCAAGTATAGCAGTTTTGTCTAGGTCTCTGCAATCCACTTTTAATCACAATTTTCATTAAGCGTCCTTAAATACGTGTCATTTAATTTTGATTTAAAATCCGAGTCTTCGGTTTTTATTACATTGCCACGCACATTGTACATGTATCCCACGGATTCATATTTACGTCTTATGTCTTCCTCTTTCTTATAGAAGCCTCGAGATCGACTTGACTCGGAGCAAGTGCCTCAAGAGGGACAAGAAATCGTTGAAATTGAGCTGGCATCGCAATTTTACGCTTGGCTGAGTTCTCCCACAGAAATAGGATCTGCCGACGGGAGTCAAGCGGAAGTGGATCTCCTGACGCATTTCTTAAGGCAGGAGTCCTATTGTACATCGATTATAAGCAAAACCGACGAGATACTATCAATACTATATCAACTGAAGGAGAAGTACCACTCGGTTTCTGAGAAAACAAATAATCTTCATGAAACTTGTGAAAGTCTTCTACGCAAGCAAACAGATCTTACGGAGAAGGCCAATCAAATTGAAGAAATGCTTCAATTCTTTACTGTTCTCTCTTCTATCGAATCTGTGGGTGCGCTTGTGTAGAATTTACAGCTTGTAGAAACTGAGCAATCGTAATTTAATTTTATCAGCTGAGAGAATGGAGTCTGTTCTGCAATCGATTGATTTAAGTATTGCATTTCTAGAAGAACATGTAAGTTTCCCTGAGTTTATTTTTCTTCCTGTATTTAGCCTAACTTTAAGGATTCCGAAGCATTTCTTTTGCGCTTTAATACTTGTCTGAATTCTGCTCTCCTCATGGTGAAAGAAGGAATCAAGAATTCCATTCGACAGGTTGTCATTGAGATAGTTGAACTAGGCGTAAGTCTTACCTTGATGTGATCAAATCCCTTTTTAGGATGCCATATCCCCAGAAAATTCGTTTATTCTCCTCTACGGTCGCTTTCGCTCCCAGGCCTCACGAATCCGCTCCCTGATGCAACTAATGGAGTCACGAGCGGATAAATCGCCAAGGTTTTGTAAATTATATGGCACAATCCTTCCCATATAGATACCGTGATGTCATAGCAGAGTGCCAGGCCTACTACCTAACCAAACGTGAGGCTCTAGTAATCCCCGTAGCCCGAGCGAGCATTGCTGATCTGACAAGCAAGTACTCGGGCGATCATTGCGAACTCTTTCGCACCACTGTCTCTTTCATGCTTCACATGGTGGAGGATGAGTCTCTGCTATTTTGGCGCTATTTTGAGTCACAGGAAACGGTGGAGTCCTCCCAAGTAGGAAAAAATCCACCCTCTTTTGAGTACGGTACACTTTACGTCTTCACTAACCTTACCTATTCTTACATTACTTACATTGTGTATATTCGCGTTTGGAGGCTAACCATTGTCTTTTGAACTTCATTTATTTTAAACATCTTGTGTCTGAAATCCCTGAAACTTGACCAAACATTCATATTTGACAGTACCATGAGGTGGAATTAGGGCTTAACCAGCATCGTTTGCGTCCGAGGAAATGTGGCTTGTTAAATCAGTTTTTGAATCTTTTGTTTGATAGATCTATGCTAACGAACCTATGCAGTTGCGTCTATGATGCCCTTCGACCTTTCCTAATCCACGTCAATCACATTGAAATCTTGATGGAGCTCTGTGACCTCCTTGTTCACGAATTCATTGAAGATAAGCCGGCTGCCAATCCCAGTAAGCTCTTAACATGCCTTCCATCGGCTCACTCTCTCCGTTCGTGAACCTATTCTTTTCCTTCCCTTGTCAAAGATGTCGACCTCGCTGTATTCGAGAATATGTGCCGGACCCTATTAGCCGATGTGCAACAGCGACTGATTTATCGTGCCCATGTCCACATCAAATCTCAAATCCATGACTACGAACCTAGCGCTGGTGATATCACCTACCCTGAGAAGCTTGAAATGATTGAGGTATGTTATCATGTTGTAATTTCACTCAGTCTTCCCTTCCCTTCTCGTCAAACCTGTATTTCGTCTCAGCAAATAGCTTCAAGCCTCCAACAACAACAACAGCAGCAGCAGGCGAATGACGGTGATGTTCAATCGAACGGTGAAGCGGAAAGAAAGATTTCTTCAAGTTCTACGGACTTCCATGGAATGTGGTATCCTACAGTACGAAGAACTCTGGTGTGCATCTCCGGTCTTAGCAGATGTCTCGATGTAAGTCGTCAACATCATATCGCATTTCACCTCTAGTGAGCTGGGGGCTATTAGCACAGCTGAAATAAGCAGGGTTCCTTCTTGTTTAAGTGCTGTCCTTGACGCCCTCCACGGTCAATTCTTTTTTCTTCGAGTAGGTTGTAAGTTAGCGCCAGACTCGCAAAGATGATGTGATGAATCCACATCATAGCATGATTACTAGCTAGCTTAATCTTGGTGGATAGAGTCATAAAACACCGCGTCCTTTGTACAGTGCACTGTATCGAGGAGGTAGTGTTAACTGCTGGACAATACTCTTAAGCAGTCACATCATGCATCCCAATCACTTCGTGGAGTTTTGTTCTATTTGGTGGCCACAAGGCAGAACTTCAAATTAGGATGTTTCGCAGGTGTTGGCGTGGTTTTAATAGCCCTTTTGCTATGCATCTTTAAGGCTTCAGCCATGCCCACCCCCCGTTCTCTTCCTTCTCTGACGCTTCGATATAGTATCCGATTAGGATTAAAGGATCAAGGGAGCGTTTAGGAAAGGTTTGATGCAAAAGTTTGCATATTTAAGTATGCACTCAGAGGAAATATTACTATAGTGGACTACACACTCCTTCCTTTTAGGTGAAAGCGTTTCAGGGGCTCGCACAGAACTGTCTTTCTGCGTGCATTGAGTCTTTGATGGTAGCCCAGAAACGCATTGAGGCGCGAAGGTCAACGAGTGATGGACAGCTCTTCTTCATTAAACATCTCCTTATCCTTCGGGAACAGTCGACCCCCTTCAATGTGGACTTTCGGGTGAGGGAGACGAGTTTGGACTTCTCCAATATTAAAAGTGAGCTATCTTGTTCAATATTTGATTGTCTGTGGATTTCACCGATATCGGTGTGCCTTTTCATCTATGAGTGCAAACTCTTGTCTTCCTGACTCGATGTATCTACTCCAGAGCTTACTTCCTTTCTCCAAGCCGAAAAGTGGCTTTATTGGAGACGCAAGTTACTGTTAGGCATAAGTATTAAAGATGGCGCGTCGGTTCACCTAGAACAGGACAGTCTCACTTAATGACATGCCTGGTTAAAGCTGGTATCATTACGCTACAGGCGCGGCCTATCAAGCAATGCCTAAGTTAGGCTTGAAGATTTTCGACTTTAACCGCGCAAACCACTTGCTGCGTCTGCTGCTGCTCGAGGGACCTACAGTGGTGGACACAGATGTTGACTCGCGGCGCCAGTTGGATCGACACTTGAAGGTAACCTGCGAGGCATTCATTTCCGCTTCTGTCACCTCACTCACCGGACAGATTGGCTCTCTTCTTGACAAGGTAAGCGCTGTGTCAACCAAGTAGTGAGTTCTCTTGGGTCAAACAGGAATCAGTGCACTTGATCATCCATCTAGCTAATTATCTGTCCTGATTTCGCCTATCTACTCATGGGCCTATTCATCTTGGCTTTATCCACCTGTCTGTCCACCTCTCATTCACTCATTCATGCTGTACCTGAAGACGAACTGTGCAATGTGTGTTTAAACCACTGTTGATCTAAATTAGTCGTATTGACTGTAGTTTTTACACGACAAATGAGCACAAATAAATTGGGAAGTATGATGATGAAAGGCGTTGGAAACAACAAAGGATGTTTTTACTTAGCAGTCCGACGAGCTAGTCAAGCGTTTAGCGTATCTTGCAAAGATATTTGGGTTTCGAAAGGCAATGCAGCCGTTTTATTAATTCCCTCTTTGTTGTGCGAAGCGGTGATAAAAGCAGGTGTCCAAAAAAATAAGGTGTTATTTGTCACTACTAATTTGAATACTAGGCGATTTACGTATCAAGATTAACTGACAATTCATTGTCACTTACATAACCAAGGTGGAGGGGGTGGAGGGGGGGGAAGGAGGAGATCCTTACTGGAAACCAGTGAAGCCAACGGCTCTCACCCACCATATAACATGCATTGACAGATCGCAATAGACTTCAAAGGCTATCAATTTGTTCTTCACTTCTTTAACAAACTTCACAAAAGTTCTGATTAATAGGATTTTTGCTGACTGCCTAATGAACTGACAGTCTTGTGATGATAAATGGCTCTTGCATTTCAACAATAGTAAGGGGAACGAACAGATAAGTTGTTATCCTCACTCCTTCATCATGACAAGACTGTCTTGTGTGTGAGTGCTGGCGGTGCCAGGAGTGCGGACACATTTGATTACTGGGAATGATGCACGTCTTGAAGACCAAACAACTGTTGCTCCTGACATCTGTCTACTCGATGCAACTAGAAGATGTGCACTGGAAGAGCCTCTTCGTCGTCGTCGTCGGCTTCTCCTTGAGAATCAGTCACGACTGATCAGTTGGTCGAAGGAAAGTGCTGCTTTCGTTTTCACTGCACAACAGAAGGCGTGACCTCATGCTCCATGCCACATACACATACCACATCCTGCTGAACTTGGAACTTAGATGTGAGAAAATTTGCACCGTAGATGGCATGGTGTGGAGGGAGAGGTCAATTCCTCTGTCAAATGGTAATTCCTTCGTCACTTCGATGCTGTGTTCACTAAACATCTCGGTTGGACAAGTTAGGGGGGGGCAAATTTGCTCATTTTTTCTGTCCACATTGGGCTGTTAATCTTGGGATTTGGGTAAAGTGCCCACAAAATCTCGATTTTTCGGCATTTAAGCTAGTTAGGCAAAGATGGGAAGGCATTAGGCGTCTAAACTCGATTCGCACTTTGTCATTATTTACCAGGTAAATGTTGTCAAAGTAATTTGGTGAAATGTGTTTATTTTCTCACATTCAGGCAAAGGTGCAGGTATCCCAACATCCAGTACTCGGTGCGCCTAATCAGTTGAGGGATGAGGTGTCCGCAGCAATTCGTCTACTCTCGGTCAGCGAGTCAAATTCGTCATCTGCGGCGAATACCCTCGCAGTTATTCGACACAAGTTGACTCTTTACCTGGGTAATACGAACACAGTGGCCATTATACTGCGACCAATTGAGAATGGCGTGGTGAAGCTATGGCGAAAATTGGCAGCTACTATTGCTGAGCACTATTCGGAGGAGGAAAGAATGGTGATTGCCTGTCCAACGGAGAATCAGGTTGGTCATCGCAAATTGTGGATACGTTAACAGAGAGGGCGGTTTTTTGTTCCTAGGCTTAAATTATTGCTGACGAATGGGAGCATTCGTTTTGGTTTTTGTTCTAGATTCGACTATTTTTCCACGCAAAGTGAATATCGCCGGGGTCGGGTGGGCGGTTGCGAGGCTGTGATGGACTTCCGATCCAACTATACCGACAATTACTGTTTGAAATACTCCATTGTATTTTACCACTTTAAGTTGGAGTTTTTGGGCTTGGGATTTGTGTGGGCGTTGGGACTAGCTGAAGTGAGGTTGTGGGGTGGGGCTTTTCTGTAGGCGGGTGCTGTGCGCAGCGCTCGGTGGTTTGGGACGGCATGGTGGCTGCAGGCAACTTAATTGGCATAATGTAGGTTTTCCAGGCTGAGATCTCCTACGTGGAAAGTGGGTTACAAAATTTTTAATAAGTGTTAAAGTCCTAAAGTTATGTTTAAGCATTTAGTCTATGCAATGAGCTCACAATCATTTCTATTTGTTTTAAGCGATATTGTTTATTTCACGCTGTTCGAGATGGTGTCTTCTTCGTCCCTATTTAGTTAGTCGTAGGTTTGGGAATTAATGGCTGGGAATTTCTGGCAGTGTTCTCACTAGTAGGTCTCTTTCAACTTATTTAGTGGGTTTTAGCTTGGAGTGGTTGTTAGATAGGCAGGATGTCTTGAAATATCGAGCGCCCGATCTCAAGAAGTTGGGCTCAGAAGAGGAATACCAGAAAATCATGATATTCTTTATCGATGGTAATTCTTGCTAGGATATTAACTGCCTTTTTTCAGTCATTCAAGCATTTGGTAAGAGCGTAGAAGTACGCCAGCAAGTCATTGCAACTGCTTCCGTATACTTTCGCCGTTTTTTTGGCAGGTGAATCATCTGAAGTTTCATTCAAGTTTGCTTAGAACCTCTCTGAAATCCATCGACCCTTGGCTGATGGCACCTTCATGTCTTTTTTTGGCCTCCAAAGTAGAAGAATATGGTGTTATTCAACCCAAGAGCCTTATTGCCGCTTGCTGTAAAGTTGGTGGGTGACTAATGCATGTTTACAACCCTAGTAAATAATCAATATTCTAAGTATTTTAAGGAATATACGTATCCCTACCGGACACATGATGTATTCGAATGCGAGTTCATTCTTATGGAAGCTATGGTTAGTTGGATAATCCTCGTTTTATTTCTAAAATGCAACTACCTCCGATTACTTCCTAGTGTGTCTATTTGAATATTACCTTAGGACTGCTCACTCATTGTGTTTCATCCTTATCGGCCGCTTCTTCAATTTTGTGATGATTTAAGACCCCAATTACTTGACATGGCTGATGAACTTTTATCACGAGCTTGGTACGTTCACACGTTTGAAGACATGACAACAATAGGCAGATTTTCGACGTATAAAATGTGTCCTATTTATTTATTTAGGAGCATTGCTAATGACAGTCTTCGCACAGACCTCTGTCTTCACTACCCTCCCTACCTGATCGCACTGGGTAAGAGCAATTTTAAAACTACTGTAGGATCTCCATGGTTGTTAGTCATTCCCTCCTTTCGTTTTCAGGCTGTGTTCAGATGGCGCTTGTCAGTTTAGCAAGAAATCCACCTGCCAGTTCTGGGAACATACATGATCATCATTCATTGTACTTTTCGACTCAGTCCAGTATCAACCCTCTTGTCATTGCCGAACAATGGTTCAGTGAGCTAAATATCGACGCTGAAAAGGTACCTCTTCACTCTTCTCTCTTGCATACATTTCTCAATCTAATTCTTATTAAATGATCCACTCCTTGTTTTCGCAGGTGCTTGAAGTAGTACGACATTTGCTAGCACTCTACGATCTCCTAGACCGCATAGACATGGAGAACGAGATGCCTGTCCTCCTGATGCAAAAGATGCCCCATCCGGTGGTTCAACAACCTCCCCAGCAGCAAGCCCAGGGTCAACAGGGCGCCTCAAGGGCAATTGATGGCGGAAATGGTGGTGGTGCCGCCACCTCTCATCACAAAAGAATGGGTCAAGCGATGCCAACACATCATATGCCGCCACCTCCCCATCCCCCACCAAATGCTGCTGGCGGACCGCCCATGTGATTCTAGTCTGGGTGTCTGTATATGTGTTATAGTCATTTTCCGCATTACTTGATTTTCTCTCATTAGATTTGTCGTAGTTCTCCTGGTTTGTGCCATTTTTTTAATTAAAAACTCAATGGTATTTTTATTGCTGATTCCGCGTTGTTATTCATAATTGCAGCACGTCTTTCTGTTCAATAAGCATATGATTTTGAAAATGGTTAGGTGGATTTAGTCATTATCTGTGTTTACAGAGCACTTTTGTTGGTTTGTTTGTCTCTGTTCATGTGGAGATCAGGTCATGTGATCAGCATTGATCCCGGCTTTTCAAGCCCCACCATCCACTTTGGACGCAGCTTTTGGCCAGTTGATTTGGAAATTATTTTCTTACGTTTCTTATTTTTTCTTCATGGGGCCAGGCACTACATCTCATAATGCGAGAAAGCGAAGTCCTCTTAAAAACAGCAGAAAATGTACTAGTGAAACCAGCAACTCAGAAATTGTAGGCAGTCACGCGCGTAAGAACCAGGACTCCCAACTTGAAAGAAAGATGACTCTGTTAGATGACAAAAAGACTGGACCGAATGAAGTTATTTTATCCAAATCAAATATTGAGCACATTCCTCCACTTGCAGAGGCGTCTATGATGGCGAAAAGCGATATCGTTCTTCCGATTGATCAGGTTCTAGCAAAACAAGTGGAACGATGTGATTTTGGACAAGCTCTGACTGTTGCTACTCCCCTCAACACAGTCAACAACATCATCCTGAAGCAGCCTCGTGGTGGTGAGATCTATAGGTCTAAGGGACGAAAGAAAAGGGCGTTAGGCGAATCGAGAAATGCTCTTAATATCGACATCAGTGTCGCTCCCCTCCTATTCTGCACACCCCATGAGCCCATCGACTTGAGCGTCCGTATGTACGAGAAATCTGCCGATTCCCCCACCACTCTAATGCTCACTCTGGTGCCACAAGATGGTGGCACACTTCATGTTTCACAAAAGAATCGACAAAATTTCAACGAACAATTCACCAAGTGTCAGGGTAATTTGAAACAAAAGGCCAGTTGCAAAAACACTTATCGAACGTCAAAATTGGTGGTGGGAAAAAACGTGACCGAAAATAACACACGAAACGTTGCACCGTTGTGCCTTCACTTAAATTTTGATTCTGCTTCACAAAAGCGCCGACAAGTGAAAGGACTAAAAGATCCCAACTCTATCGATGGTCGAGGAGGAATTCTCCGTCTGCAGACATCCTCTTTTCATTTAGATGGTGATAAATTTGCTGAGAATGATCTGATACTTCTACAACAACAGTCCAATTCCAGCGCTAGGTGCACCTCCAACCAACCGCAGAATTGTGAATCCAGTGATGGACATAATTCGCTAAACAGAACATCTCAAACACGAAGAGTAGGTAGCTGTAAATCGCATATGAGCAGAGGCAGCAAATATTGCACGCATGGACGCTCAGTTCCACCTACGCAGCAGGCAAGCACATACCTTTCACAAAGTTCCAAGAGTGGTCTCCTCCCTGATCCTAAATCGGTTCACGATATACGTTCTACTACTATCAGAACAGTTCCAGTAAGTGGAGGATCCTCAGCTGAAAATTCGGTTGGTTGTACGCACAAGAATAGAGCAGAGGTAAGCACTGTAGACGTAGTAGACGATTGCAAAGTGGATGGCGAATCGAGTTCAGGGCAATGTGGTGGTTCACCGCAGTCATACGCCAGCCAGGCTGGCTCCAACAACGACGATCTGTCGCTCCAAGTATTCCTCGATGCTGACTATGGATCTGATACCATTCCTGTCATCATAAGTAGGAAGTCCAACGTTCGGGGCTCTGTAACATCAAGTGAACCTAGAGAGTATAGAGGCAAATCAGCACCTTCAGAATCCTATGGTCAGATGGGTTCAAGAGTTCTTGAGAAGAAGGATTACTCGGGACTAAATATATCTGAAAACCCGGTGAAAAAGACGCTTAAAGGAACACCAATGATTTCAGTCTCCAAGGGGAATTCCAACGGTGCTTCACCTAAAAATAGTCAAGGAAGTGATTTTCGATTGACCAATACGAAAACGCATTGGAGTAGACCTACAGATAAGACTTCCAGTTCCTATATTACGAGGTCTAGTCAACACTCTCTGCCTTCTACTCAGTGGAAGCGATTGTCCACTGAACTCATCGATGAGATAGCTCAAGAGCTTGTGGACAGTGTGGTGGATGCTGCCTTCAAAAAGCTTGATGCCAAGACTTCGTCTTTACAACCGATTCATTTTGAGTCGCGCTATACACGGACAGCGGACGCTAATACTGAGGGAAGAAACACAAAAACAATGCGGTTCATCTTAGACCGTGGCACAAATAAAAAACCAATCAAATTTAACTTAACTCTTTGTTTAGTTGATGATGCAAATCAGAAGCATTGCTTCAACCCAGTGATTCCTAAGGATTATCATATCCTCAGATCTGGCACGACTCGCTTAGCGCCCACTGAAGACCCAAGAGGAACACTTAAATCCCTAAAGTCGTTTGCATCGGATAAGACAGAAGATGTGGCCGAGGTGTTGGTGGATGATGCACTTTACTCGGCCGTTGATCTTATTTCAGTGGATCCGTCAAGATTTACAGAAGTGAGAAGCTCTGAATTGCAAGAGACTCCAGTTGATGCAAAAATTAGATCATTGGTAGCCAGCATAAATGGACAGGAGAAAACGGTATCGATGGACAAGTCAGGTGCTTATAATTTGAGCATTGATAAGGATATGATAAATGGCCTAATGACACTACAACTGGGATTTTCTGTACTATCTGACTCTGAGGAGAAGAAGTCTGATTCAAGCCAGCAAACTCAATCTCCTCTCATTGTTACACCGGAATGCAGTGTCAAAAGTGAGCAGTCTTCTGACAGTAGCTGCGGTATTCTTGGTTCGCGGACAGCTAAGGATAGGATTTCACAATTGCAAACTGTAGAAAGACCAGGAATACTTATCCAGCTCCGTGAAAATCCAACTACATCAATGAAAACTGCGCAAAAGGTGAAGGAGACTTGTACGACGTCTAGAACTTTTATGCGGAAGGGATGCGAGATGGCGGAATTAAGCAAGAACTTATGTCAAGAGCCAAGTCAAGGAGTACTTCCATACAATACAATAGAGAAGGTCTCTACACATTACTCTGAATGCTGCAGCTTTGTCTCTTCAATTGGCCTCGAAGAGGTAGCAAAGAATGCCAACTTTTCAGGGCAGTTGAAGAAAGATTCGGTTGGTAGTGTTCTTGAAGGTCCAAATTTATCCTTTTCCATGTCTGGTTTTACTGAACAACCACAAGAGGAGAGAAGGACAACCCTGCTTCAAACTCAGCATCCCAGCACCACGACAATGGCACCATCTGTGCTGGGATATGATGCGTCTCAGAAAACTTCAGAGAGATATGATCATAACGACTTTTTGGGAACTGGCAGTCGTGACCCTCGTGGTTCAGTGGAAGGACCAAATACGCGTCAAGAGACGATTTTAAAGACAAATATACCATCGTCTTATAAATCCTCCCGAGGTTCCCCCGAATGTGATACGACACCCGAAAGCAAATGTGATGAATGTCGGACCAGAATGTCTCCTGATGGAGAAATCCCAGCATCGTCAGTACCAAGTTGCCTAAAGTTTGTACAAACAGACATGACTCTTCCAGTTAATGAAGAGGTAGCCTCTTGCTACCAGATGGATGGCGATGAGGTGTGTTTCTGTGGAAATCGTGAAACGATTGATGGTGGTAATACATCGGTGTTAGAGAAAAATCCATCTTCATATAACCTCGAATCATCACAAGTCTTAGAGAAAAAATCTTCAGAAGAAACCTTTTCAATTCGTCTAAATATTCGTCTTCCAAAGGGATGCGGTAAATTAGTGAATCAAGCATCAGCCGACCCGAAAACATTTGTGAGGTTAAGCGACCAAGGCATACCACTGTCTTACGCCAATGTCTCCAATTCCAACGAAAGCATTGTTGTGAATGCACTTACAGTACGGAAACTTTCATGAATCTTCAGGAAACAGACGCCATTGAAGGCAGTAACGTCATCTAACTCCATACCTATAAAGTTAAGACGCTCCTCAGCGGTGAATCAGTGCAACACCCTTTGACACACCTCGAGTGAGACTAGACGATGAGGATGGAGCTCATTATCTTATTTTACATTTTTAATGTGTTTTAAACTGCCTTCTTTTCTTTTGACACGTTTCTTTTTATTTCAAACTGCCCTATCAATGAGACTGCTGTACTTAGACCTCTTGGTAGGGTGGAAAAATTGTTCAGTTTCTACCATCTATGCTTTTCCATTAAATTAACCATGACGCTTACTTTTCATATTTATGAGTTATATTTTATGCACTTTTTTGTTTTGTTAACTCTCTAAGATTTCGTTGGGAGTATCGTTTGGAGGTAATTTCCTTTGAATTTGCTGTCTAGTAATTTAGGAAGGTGGAGTATTAGATGGCAGAGCAACGTACCGCCCAGAAATGGTTGGAACAACTTGAGTTAGTTTGATGGTGAATCACTGAGGGGTAGGTATCCCAAGTAGAGGAGGGACAACACTCTGTTCCTCATAATAAAATGAGGTTTTACTTAAGTTACGACAACGACAAGAGGGTGGAAAAATAGGCCGAGGTAGGGGCTGATGGAGGAAATGGCT